TAATCATTAAAGACCGGCAAAATTAAAGATCATCAATGAGTCAAAGAGAAAATCCATGTCGAAAATTATTAACAATATATGCCAGGTTCTCATCTGTGGTATACAAGTAGTGTCTTACTGGACTGAAAACACAATGGTATGTTTAAGTCTAATAAAATCTCTTAACTGTTACAGAACTGCCTTATACAGCTTCTTAAAATATTTCAATGATCTGAAAAGTTATCATCTGAAACAAATTAGCTATAAAAGGAAAGAACTATGGAGCTGAATTCTAACGTAGAGCTCCTTGCTTGGTAATGCTAGGAATCAACAGTTACACAATGAACAAAAAAATGACAATTTATGATAATACAATTTTACCAATATAGAAAACACTGTCACTCATAATAACATGGGGAAAAGTTTTTCCTCACTTCCAATGTTTTGGCTATACATACATACAAAAATGAGGAAGTCTTCAATTATTTCAGAGAAAAAAAAGATATGAGTACATAAAGTAAATTCGGACTTACAATGTAGATATTTTAAAAAAATTCATCAGAAGAATCTGCATAAAATTTAATTTTGTTGGAAAGAATGGATATAATTGCTTCATTTTTGCTCTCATCTGTGTAAATGATAAATGTGACCACACCCATGCTACTATAAGTAAGATAATGTGTGCCAACAACATAGTACTGCATCTAGCAGTCAGGTCCCAAAAAACCATAGCTGCCATTATCTGAACACAGGCTCCAAGAAAACAGTGTTCTGTCTGACTTTCATCATTATAAACCCAGTTACCAAATGCTCAACAGTTATCTGTTGACTGACAGAAATGTAATATCAAACTTCATCTTGGTCATGGAATAGGCAGGTTTATACTGATTTTGGATTTTCAGAACTACCTGTCTGAAATGTTATGCAACTTGGGTTTTTATTTGAAAGGGTACCGACATCTGCTTTTAATTAAGTCACTTAAATGTCCTATACCAAAAAGTGGTGGAGGAACCATTCCCTTCCACTGCTCAGTTCGTATAGTATGATATCACTTAAAAACCAGAATTTACACTGCTTTCGTCTTATGAACAGCTGCCTACAGTTGTTTTTTATCCTATAAGTGAGTCTTTGTTCAAAGATTAGTTGAAGATGGGGGAGAACTCTGGTCTGTGAAACCTAGGGAACACAGACCTGAGTGAAGGTGGCTGCTGGCCAGCACCACCTAAGTTGCAGGACGTGTTGCGCATGATCCACGTACATTCTCTAAAATCCAAGCTCTCAAGACGACTGGTGTGAGGACTTGCAGAAGAAGAAGGAGCTCTGGGACCCGAGCAGGCTACAATAACCTGAGGATCACAAATGTGTCCCTCAGAAACAGTCAGGGACTCTGCCAGAGATGAAGGCAAACTTTATCAGTTACTCGCCACTACTATTTTTACCCTGTGGAAGGCAGGGAACTGAGGAGATGATTCTCTGACCTGCTGCCAGTAGCTCTTATTAGCACCCAAAATTCATTACTAAAATCTAATGAAGCCGAAACTATGCGTCTTTTATTTTCTACATTTTAGCTTTTTTTTTTTTTCCAGAAACCCTGAATGTTTCCATATTATATTTGTCCTGGATTTCATAATTGGACATTATTACATTTGTTTACAAGTTGGCAGTTAATTCATATTAAAGAAACAACCAGTACATTTCCAGATGGATATCTGCTTAATCTCTAAAATGTACTGTTGAAGCCATTGTTAAAATTAATTAGTCATATTAAATCTCTCTTATTGCAAAAAGCACACAACAGTTGAAAAAGTACACATTTCTCAAACTTCTACAAAGCTGGAATGAGAATAAAAGTACTGTTCAAAAATATTGTTCAATATTAAAAAATACATGTTATATTTCAGTTAACAATCAAGGTAAAAAAAGTGTCAAGCACTACCTCAAAATAGTTCTTTATATTAATAAAAAAAAGATAACTATGCATTAGGTTTAAAACAGAGCTCTTCAAAATAAAAATTACTAAGCAGAGTTACTATGTTTCCCAATCTTTGAATAATATTTTAAGTAAATTTATTTCTTTATTAATTCTCTTCATAATCAACTTTCAGTCTATATAAAGTTCAAGTGAGTTCCCGAGACATCACTACTCCAATGGCATCCATCCATTTCCCCTTTGACACCCTGACCCTCTGGGTAATTCTAGCTCTATTACCCTCCTCTCTAACTAGCTCTTACTCGGCAGGCACTCAAAATCGAGTCCTCAGTGGCTGGTAGGAAATCTAATCCAGGCACTCTTGGTACCATCCTAAGGTTTAGTTTGTGGTTTAAAACGGCAAACAAAAACTCACCCTTCTACATGGAGTCTCTTCAGTTTGTCTCAAACCCTAACTCCTCTCCATCTGTTTAGCTCTGTGAAATTTTGCTGAATAAGGATTCCTTGTTCCATAGAGATTCCCAGTCTGGAATTTGCTGTCATCACCCTATAGTGTCATTTAACAAGTTCCTCTATTCCCTGAATGTTCTATAAAATGCTTCCTGGAGATATGGGCATGATGTGATTCAGATTCAACTTGTTGGGAAATAATGCTTCACAGTACTTTCATCAAGTAAAAGGTTTACAAAGTTGAATATTATAATTCTCATTCCTCCTTCAACTATTATGTAGAATAATTATCTAAAGAACAAATCCCATCAATTTCTTGGTTACCTTGAGTTCAGGTAAGGAAACTTTCATTCAGGAGTTTAACACTAGATTCTTTACCTTTATTTATCAATTTTCTTATGATGGTCCCCCCCAGCATGTTTCCAGAGTGAAAAATAAGATTTTTTTGTGGTATTTCATTGTGAACTTAAAGATTTGATCATAGATTATATTTTCATCCAAATCAGTTATTATTATTATTATTGCTGATCAAATTATCCAAGCTTCAGCCAGCGTCAGCTTCTTCAAGTTGGCTCCTGGGTCCTTTTGACATGAAACTAGAAGTCTCTGTTATCTTCCTTGTTCCCGAATGTGAAAAGATGTCTAAGCACATTTCCTGCCCAGATCTGGAATCAATCATTTCTCCAAAATCTTCTGGTTCTTTTGAGTGGAAATACATAATGTGGGTACTAGGGTTGCTTGTTGCTTCTGGGTTGGTCATTTTAATGGACAGGTGATTTTACTACAGGTTATGTTAATGGACAGAGCTAAGAAATATGTACTTTCAAGATAAAATGCATGAGTCTACTAATACTTCCAATTTAGAATTATGAATACAGGTGCAATACAATCTCAGTTCTATACCTATATCTACTTTCTCCCTTGTGGAAAATACTGTCTTTTCATGATACCAAAATAAATCTTGTTAGGGGCTGCCAAGTCCATGAGTCAGATACAGAGGAGACAGGGGGGCTTACGTTCACCAAAATAATCTCTAGGAAACATTCACTGCAGATGATGCAGCCTGTTTATATTCTGTAAAGATCAGCCAGGTGTCCAAAGTCACCAGCTAACAATTGAAATATGAATGCCTTCTAACGAAGCTTCATAGTATTTGGTCCTTTCTTTAAATTAATGACTTTCTCTTTTATCCTCTATAGGTTTCATTATTTCAGCAAATGTATTTACTTCTCAATTGTATAAATACCTGATGATAATGGAAGAACTTCAAATTGTATAATCCAATGTTTTTTCCCCTATATGTTCTTCCTTTGTGAACTATCATTTTCATGGAACTGAAGCAAAACTGTAACACATGGTAATTTGTGAGGACAAACCTGTATAGCTTCCACATTTTAATATTCTCCCTGGTACTCCAGGACAGAAGACTGACCACAAAGTCTTTGAGGTAGTTGTATTTGTGACTACACACACATGATCAATAGTATTGAAAAATGAAATGGCTTTTTTAGTCACAATCCAGGAAAATCTATACTTTTGGAAGTTCATATTCAAATGGGAAACAGTTCAGGGTTCACGCTACCAGTGGATTCGTGCCCCATTCCCCTTGAGGCTCACAACCTAGATTCTAAGGTTTGAGGGTAAGAAACTCTTTGATGATTTGCTGATCCCCTGCAAATAACTAACACCACAATCTGTTTCTCCTCCCTCTTCCATTCCCCAATAGTGGCAGACAGAAATGAAGCATGGGGCATCCAGTTCACAGGCAGGCAAGAGGAATCTCTGGGTGTTGTCTGATTAACTCTGTTGGACACATCCATATCTAACACCCCAATACAGCTCAATCCAGACTAATATACACAAAATTTCTGTAAACAGTGATGCATGCTCAGCACAGTCATAACTATATTGATATGAGCTGCTAGTTTCCCAGGGCCATAGTGATCATATTCTGTATCATACGTCTTGACATATGAAGATAATGACAAAAAATGAAAAGCTCAGGGTACAGACATTTTGGTTACATAAATTGGGAAAAAAAAAAAAATGAAAAGCTCAACCTGGTGTGCACATGTGTGTGCTCGCTCTCTTTCTCCCCCCTCCTCCTCTCTCCCCCCACCTCCACTCCACAGATCTTGTGGACGTCAATGAAAGAGGCCTCAGGGTGCTCACAGTAGAGAACAAGACCTGAAAGTAAGGATTTAGAGTCCCAGGTGTACCTCACACAAAGCTATTAGATCATGGGATAGGTACTCTGCCTCAGTTTCCCTCAAAATGAGGAGGAATGAGGTTATACTTACACAATGCTAACCAAATGCCAGGATGCATGCTACTGATCCAAGGGCTAAAGCCTGGGAGGAGGCAACAGGATGCAGTCCAGTGGAGGAGAGACTCAAGTAGAAGCTATATTCTTGCTACCAGACATGCTGAACACCTTAAATACTTTAAAGTGTATGTATATGGATCAATATAAAATTTCACATTCAAATATACTAGTTTGGAAGTGCTCAGTAGTAACTTTCTCGTCTACATAGACCTCATATGTTGCTTCTAGTAAGGTAAAAAATAATTAGAAATACAATTTAAATCTCTATTTAGTAAATGTAATCTGATGATAATGATACAAACAGATTGACGTTACCTCCTCTTACAAATCCATTAGTAGCTATTGCTGAAGTGGACAATCCTGTGATAGTTGTCACAACAGTAGCCATCATTATTACAATGACTGACAGACCTTTAGGGAGAAAGAAAAGAAACTGAGAATAGTTTATCTGCCATTATCTAGAACTGGCTGGTCTAAGTAGAATGAATTTACACTATAAGTTATAGATTACCTAATTCTGATACCATTTTAGAAGAATCAAATCAGAATTATGAAAAAAAGTAACATTAAGATAACAATCTGATATAAAGGAAAACACAGATCAGAATGACTCCATTGCTTGAGTTTTATAAGGTTGAGAGCCCAGGCGCAGCTATTTTGCTCACTCATTGTTCTCAAACCAAGTAGGACATAGCTTCACTTACCTATTCCAGCTTGACCCACAATCCATGACAATCTAATGAAGAGCATCACACCCCAGATGTTTAACATACAACGTACCTAGAAGAGAAAAACAAGCAAAGATACATATGAAGAAAAGTAATCGAATAATACAGCAGTAAACACTAAACCAGCCAAAAGTAGGATAACATGCATTTGACTATAGAAGATACAGTTTTTAAATCTAATTCCTACCCCACCCTTTTAACAGTTTTTAAAAAGGGCTTAATAACAGCTTATATTTGAGCTAATGTAAATGCATTATAAGATAGTGTGTGTGTGTAAATAAATGTGCCCATCACAATTATGTGAAGCAGTAGAAACAGAAAAGATACAAGAAATATTTTAAGACTTCAACCTTAAAAAAAGTTCATATTCCTCTTTATTGACATAAGTTTAATTTTTGCTCATTCTTTTATAACATCCTTTCATATGATTTCTTCAGCAGATTTAAGTATGTAATACAAAATGCCAACTGTTCATTTTTTTTAAATTAAATTTGTGAAAGTTTCCCCAATTTATCTTCACTTTTATTTATTATGCTCATACATAGAACACAGTCTCTTAAAGTACTAAAATCTAAGAATAAGCAAACGATACCTAGAGCTTCGCATTCACCTTATTGATTAGGCAATAAAATTACTACCAGAACTGCAATTTTTCCTTCTCCCCTGAATTCCAATACCAACTATATGAAATGCTTCCAAAGTCCCAATGAGAAGGCAATCTAGTCTACTTTAGTTAAAACCTTAGTGCCTATTGTAACACAGAAAAACAGAAGTAAATATGAACCTTAATCACCTAAACCTGTGTACTGAAGTAAATTCAAGAAAGAGATTTCTCCTTTATTCTGTTACTTGTTAACTTCTATATACTTCTCTTCAAAAGATAACCGGGTTAGCGTTAAAGGAAGCTGGCATATTTCAGCTCTATTCCCTGCTCAGCTTTCTGAATTTTGATGCTTCCATCAATCTGATAGCTTCATACTTAATCTCCCAAAAGTGACAATATGTGAGATTCCTAAGAGGCAATGAAATATAATTTACAGGCAATCAAGGATAATTTGGTTAAATTAATAAATATATCCTCTTTATTAAATTTAATATCCAAAACGAAAGGAGGTACAAGTTATTAATTTGGTATTCCACAGCACTCAGATAACAAAGTTGTAACAGAGGGAAATAAAAGTTCAATTGAGAACTGATGAGAATATTAGGAAGGTTTTATAATCAATAGAAATACTGTAATTCTAAAATAACGTCTACATATACATACTAATACACCCTTGATCCAGCCAAACTTCACAACTCCTTTACTCTCTGCAGCATATGTGACCACAGCATCTCTGGTTGGAGTACTTTCTTCGCCATTTGCAAAGCCATCCTCAAAAGGTTCCTGGTTATAAAAAGAAATGTGAATTATGTTTAAGAATTATTTAAAATTTAAAATCACTTGATAAATACAAATACACTTAACCATATTTAGGAGGACGCAGTATAGATTTCCAACAATCAAGGGTTTCTGAATATTTTACCTGAGGAAAACATAAAGCAATAAAGTAGAAGGAAACCTTAATTACTGAGATTTCTTAAAATTTAAATCTCACCGTGACAGTAAACCCGTTTTAATAATTTCAAATTTTAATTACACTTTGGTGATGTCTGGAGAATACAGAATACTGATTGCTAGCCATAGGCTAGCTAGGTCAATCAATTCAGACTGCATCTCTCCAGCCACAAATTCACATCACCTAGTTGCCACCTTTCCCACATCTGAAATGTCAACATTAACAGATTAAAACTCCGTTCCTCACCAATGAATATACAGCTTTCCCTTTATAGTCCAAGACAGTAGAGTCCCACGGATCCCAAGATTCATTCCTAACTCCTCCCTTCACTCATTCCTTATCTGCATTCAATCGCTCTGTGTTCTTCAAGCTTTCCTTTGTAATTTTTCTCAGATTCAGACATGAGCTGTTTGATGTTTCCTTCTTAGGTTTTTAAACTTCATGTCTGATTCTATAATTCTTAGCTTTTTGTTCTCTCCTTTCTTTCTCTCTCAGTGGCTCTCAATTTTTGTTCTGCCCCCATACACCCAAGGCATATGACACTTTTCCAAATCAGTAACAGAGCCTTAAAAAGGTCATGAAGGGAGAAAAGAGATGGCTTGGGAAATAAAAGATGTGCTGGATCTAAAATCATGTCCCAAACAGTAGCCCCATGGTTGTTCCTCTACCTATATCTCAACAGCACAGAACAAAATACAGCTATATTTCAGACATTCTTTCATTAAATGCAGAAGAAGCAACTATTATAAATTAGTTATTTAAAACCATTTTCAGTGATTCACATGCTTTGGGGAATTCTGAACACAATTTTTTATTACAGAAATGAGATGCAAGTTCTGTGCTACCACAGTGCAAAATCTACATAATAATCCAAACTTCCATTTTCCCTTGACCCAACATCTGTCATTCAATTCCATTTAATGCAATATTGCTATATGCTTTTTAAAAGTACTATCAACCTAGATCAGCTCTTAGATTCCATATTTATATAGATTAACTACTGATGATTCTTTGATTTTGAAAAGATACACTAAAATAAGCCAGACGCAATAATTTAAGTACTTTTTTAAAAAATATTTTACTAGGCTTTTTAATGACGTTAAGAGAAAAATAATTAAATTTTAAACTAATTCTCATGTTTTCATTAACTGACATAGCTATAACCTCAACTCCATGAAATGCATGGAAATGAATCATTTTAAGATCACTAAGAATTTAAATATGAACTTTAATGTTAAACACTTCTGATAGTAGCTCACAAATGTTTTAAAACAGAGCCTAAGACATAATTATAATAATTTTTCTTATAACACAGTTTCATAACTATCATCTACCAATGATTATTGTACTGTATTGTATAAGAGGGATGCCCCCAGGCTTATGGTATAAAGAACCAATCACCCCCATGAAAAATTTAAAATTATTCCAAATCTGCTATACTTTTTAAACAGCTTTATTGAGATATAATTCACATACCATACAATTCACCCATTTAAAGTGCACAATACAATGATTTATAGCATATCCACAAAGTTGTAAGACAATCACCACAATCAACTTTAGAATATTTTTATCACACTAAAAAGAAACTCAGTGCCCATTAGTCACTCCCCAATTCACCTTCCTCCAGCCCCTGGTAACCACCAACTAGCTTTCTGTCTCCACAAATTTCTCTATTCTGACATTTCACATAAATGTAATCATATGATACATAGGCTTTGTGTATGGCTTCTTTCACTTAGCAAAATGTTTTCAAGGATCATTAATGTTATAGTATATATCAGTACTTCCCTCTTTTTGACTGCCAAATAATATTCCATTGCATGGATATACTACATTTTCTTTATTCATCAATTAGACATTTAGGCTGATTTCACTTTTTGGCTATTATGAATAATGCTACAATGAACATTTGTGTACAAGTTTTTGGGTGCACATTTGTTTTAATTTATCCTGAGTATATACCCAGGAGTGGAATTTCTGGGTCACAAACTTTTTGAAGTGACTGCTTCTAGTCATTTCTCTCATCTCTTCCTTTGTATGAATATGCCTGCCTACTGTTATCCCTATTCTTACTGGTATAAACATGGAAACCAGTAACCACTAAAAACGTTAGAAATATATATGAAAAAAAAAAATTGTGCCCAGGAGCCTGCATAGCTAAATTGCAAGAACAATACACTTTGGCTGTACTTCTGCTGTTGACTGTGTTCCAGAAGAGAGTCAATGACAATGCCAAATAATAAAAATTGACTCCAAATAGGGATTGATGACTTAATCGTTCAATTATTCAAATAAAGCCAGATCAAAAAAGTCTGCCTGTTAATTCAATTAACTTTAGGTAGAAGTTCCTTAGATTTTACTCTAAGATACATAATACTCTTGAGTCATTTTATGAAAGAAGACTTTAGAATATATAACCTCCAAGTATTATAAGAAAATACAATATCTAATATACACTAAAAATACATCTGTCTTCCGATCTCTATTAAAAGAAAACTAAAGATTTGTGTACTTAACAGGCTACTGTTTCCAAGGCTAACTATTGATATGGGCTTTCTTTTAGCAATGCAAAAGTATGCAGGCATCCTAAAATTTATGATATGGGTGTTGATCAGAATTCCACCTCAAAAAAAAGTTGAAGATCTAGCAATAATTTTGCTAGTTTCCACCATACTATACACAACTATGTTCAAAAAACAAAGTAAGATTTTCCACTTAAATACTGCATGTATTAAGCAGTATTTTAAAATAAAGATGGGTCCGTACAAAAGGAAAAATTTATCTTCCTCATCTTCTGGCAGCTCTATTTATAAAAGTGCTTCATTTGTCTCTAAAATATAATTCAAAAGTTAAAATCGAATAAGTGTTTGTTATTACCTGTAGCTCAATTAACAGACTTAAAAATGAAGTTTGGTTCATAATTGTATTAACTTCCTGAAATACCAGGAAACCAAAGTGGAATATACATCTTCTGTTTCTTTAAATACATTGCAGAGAATTAAGGAAATTATCAGGTATGGAATTTTGTCCACGCACACACACAAAAATAGTATAAAAACCTTATAATCATGGAAAATTTCATATATGCAATTATGAACTATAAATTATGCTGATACAAAGGTACACACATAAATAAAATCTTCAATCTACCTGCCATTTTCACAGAAATGATGGGTTTGTGTTCTTTATTGGGTTTTCCACACTAATGGATAAAAAGTAAAAAACAACAGCACAAATGATTTTACGGATGCCATGTTAAATTAAGTTGGTCCAAATTAATTTAGTATTATTCCAGGAAATAATCTTTCAAAAAGTAATAATAGCATTGTGATTCTGAGTCTCCCAAGCAGGGACTGAGGGTGGGGGTGAGAATACAATTGGGAAGGGAGGAAGAGACAGAGAAAGAATGGAAGACCTAGATAGTTATACCCTCAGTAACCAGAAAAGGAAATGATTAAATCAGTTGAACATGCTCAATTTGAGAAGCCATAAGACAATCAAAGAGTTCTTTCAAACAGTTAAAAACTTCATGACTGAAATTAGGATGGGGCCAGGGATAAAGAGGTAGTGGATGAAGCTATGGAAACAAAGCAATAAGAAAAACTTACACAGAAAAAACATGGGGAGCTGAACATTTTTCTGAGTACACAGAAAATACAAGAATAGAAGGGATTTCCACAGGCAGAGCCTCTTTTATGGTGGAAATTCCTTCTATTCTTGTATTATCTGTGTACTCAGAAAAATGTTCAGCTCCCCATGTTTTTTCTGTGTAAGCTTTTCTTATTACTCTGTTTCCATAGCTTCATGGGGTATTAAGGGTGTCCAAATGAGGACAGATGAGATCAAACTCTCGCTCTTTGCTGATAATATGATATTATATCTAGAAAACCCCAAGGACTCATCTAAGAGACTCCTAGAACTGACAAATGAATTCAGCAAAGTCTCAGGATACAAAATCAATACGCACAAATCTGTGGCATTCATATATGCCAACAACAGTCAAGCCGAAGACCAAATCAAAAACGCAATTCCTTTTACAATAGCCTCAAAGAAAATTAAATATCTAGGAATATATTTAACGAAAGATGTAAGAGACTTATACAGGGAGAACTACGAAATACTAAAAAAAGAAATTGTAGAAGATGTAAACAGATGGAAAAACCTACCTTGCTCATGGATTGGTAGAATCAATATCGTTAAAATATCCATACCACCTAAAGTGATCTACAGAATTAATGCAATCCCTATCAAAATCCCATTATCATTCTTTACAGATCTGGAAAAAATAATTCTACGCTTTGTATGGAACCAGAAAAGACCTCGTACAACCAAAGCAATCTTAAGTAAAAAGAACAAACTGGAAGGTATCAGTCTACCAGACTTCAAGCTGTACTACCAGGCTACAGTAACTAAAACAGCTTGGTACTGGCACAAGAACAGAGACATTGACCTCTGGAACAGCACTGATATTCCAGAGATGAAACCATCCGCATATGGTAATCTAATCTTTGACAAAGCTAACAAAAACATACACTGGGGAAAAGAATCTCTTTTCAATAAATGGTGCTGGGAAAACTGGATAGCTACATGCAGAAGATTGAAACTGGACCCCCACCTCTCACAAAAATCAATTCAAGATGGATAACAGACTTAAACCTAAGGCATGAAACCTTCAGAATTCTAAATGAAGATGTTGGGAAGACCCTTTCAGACATCGGCCTAGGCAAGGAATTCTTGAAGAAGAACCCCAAAGCAATCGCCGCAGCAACAAAAATAAATAAGTGGGATCTAATCAAATTAAAAAGCTTCTGTACTGCCAAGGAAA